GAAAACGAAACACACACAAGAGGTTCTTACTCTTGGAAATACAAAGAAAAATAAAAAGAGAAGAAAAGGCTGGGGAAATTGCTTACTACTCCAGTCTTTTCCCACTTTCTTTTATGGCATTTTCACTCTCTAGGAAATTCAAGAAAGGCTTCCATCTCAGATGAACACACTAGTGTATAAAGAAAACAATGTTGCTTGAGTTAACTATGAAACAGCAAACACAAAATGGAGTTGCAAAAGGAATTCATTGGGGGCCATAATTCAAGATGGCTTTAAAAATAAAACGAAAACAATTTTTTTGTCACTTAAAAGCCCTTAAAGATCATCTTAATCAGTGTTTGTGCTGATTAAGACAACTGTCAAAGTCCCATGGGCCAAATACTTCCCAACAGGATCATGATGCTCAAACTCCCCGAAGTCTCAAGCATCCAAGATATCATTTCACATCGAATGCATTCATTAAAAACCATTATCAAGCAAAATTTTGCCTATTGGGTGGCCAACAATGCATCCTTTCATTCAGAAAATAAAGATTCTACATGAAAAGAAAACAAGCATAGGAAATGCATGTATACGTGCCTATACCCTTGACAGTCAAAGCTGCCTTAGCAAAAATAACCTAAATTGGATACGAAAGCCAAAAGATCAATAATCTGGGAATGTCAAAATCTTCTGGGCAACCAGCTTGATAGCTAAAATATAAGATATGCTTCATTTAATTTATAACACTCCACATCATCTTCCCGACCCTCTCAACTGTGACATCCCACCTGCCTACTGTCTTCCTGGACCATCTCCACTTACTTTACTAATGTGTAAAGAAAACACTAATGCTCCATCAGACACGAAAAACCCTGGCTTCCCCCAAGCTGTCAGGCATATTCTCCCCATGGTTTCAGTCTTCAATGAGCTTGTCCCTCAAAATAGCTATAAAATACCCATACCACTCAACTTAGGCACACAATTATAAATCACTTTGCACTGTTAGCTGACTTTTTCACATATGCTTGTCTCACTGTCTCAAAGATTCAGAAAGCTACTTGAAGGCAAAAATCTTTAGCACTATGTATCTGATCCAGGGCCTACCTCTTCCTTGCATTCTCAACTAATATTCACAGACTCATAGAAAGTTATAATCTGAAAGGACCTTTAGAGATGACTTAGTCTGAGCTCCATATTTGAAATGAATTAGGTGAGAGTCATTAATCTCTCATAGCCCAGTCAGTCAGACAAATCTGGGTTCAAATCCTGCCTCTGGCACGTTATGTAGCCTATTTTCTCTTCTGTAAAACAGAGATAATATCTATCTCAGAAAACTGTTGTCATGATCAAATGAGATAATATATATACATATATAAATTTATTTAGACTTTTCATTTGTTTTGTCCTTGTTAAGACATAATCTTTTTGGTTGATTTTTTTCCTAGTTAATATTATATTAAATCACAAACCCAAAAGGTAGAGTTTTTTTCCTACTGTATTTTTTAACCTTATGGCTGGTGCCTAGTACAGTGCTTGCCTTCTTTTGAGTGAGCCATAAACTAACCATGTGAAAGGATGCATTAAATATCTATTATTCCTATCCAGTTCAGCAAACGTATTATTCTTTAGTTCCCCCAAGAACCCAATCACTTAGGTCTATGTCTTTCCTAAACTGTGCCTTCTCAAAACAAATATATCTATCTCCCTACCCCCTCCTCTCTCTCTCTCTCTCTCTCTCTCTCTCTCTCTCTCTCTCTCTCTCTC